TAAAGGATATAGGAAGCTTCAGAAAGCGCTTTCTTGTGGCTACAAGCCAAAGGGACTGCTTCATGGGCTATTAAAGAGCAGCTTTGGCAAGGCTATTAGGGCTGAATGTACATGTTTATCCTGGGCAGCTGCAATGTGTGTGCTGTGTGTCAGAGCAGGGGTGTACCATGTGTGGAGTGTCAGTACAGGGATCGCCAAGTCAGTGTTCCTGCAGCCTCACAGTAGGTACAAGGAGCAGCGATCAATCCTCTGTTCGTGCTGCAGGCGTCGTATTTTGTATCTATAATCATTTGGTTACTTAAGTTTCTTTTTATGTCCGGCAAACGAGCGTTTGTTTCAAAGAAAACAGCACCAGTGTGTGGCAGTTCAGGCTAGGCAGAGATACTGCTAATCTGCTCTTCCCAGTATTGTAAAACAGCTGTCCAGCTCACCACTAAAGACAGCAAGGACCAAACTGATTTCTGACGTAAGCTAGTAAAACCTGCGGAGAGAAGCCAGCGTTGATTTGAACCCCCGTAACCAGTGGATGTTGTTCTTAGCGTCACGGGTACGGTGTGAACGCTTGCATTCATCTCTGACGCTGGATGCACGGAGAGCTTCCTCTCCAGGCTCTGGCTTGGCTTAGGACGGCTGCCGAAGCCCTGCTCGCCGCTTTGCAGGCTGGTGATGCCGCGTACAAGGTGGGTTCCTTCTGCCGGTCCCTGCTCACCTCCCGGCGTGAAGTCTGCACTTCTCCGCCCCACTGCTGGCTTTGGTGGGGTTTTCTACCTGCGCACCCCGCGGGCTGCCGCGGAAGGACTGCAGAGAACTCCTTACGTACCTCCTGCTCGCGGTCATCAACCGAAACGAGTGGAGAGAGCAGATTTCTCCAGGAACAAAACACAGGGAGGTCTTTCCCATTAAATGGGAAATATTCTGCGTGGAGTTGACTCTTAGCCCGTATTTTCTTTTTGGTTGCAAAGGGGAGGGCGTTTGAACAGACGAGGAGACTCAACAGCTGTCTTCAAGACAATGACCAGCTTCTTCCACTGTTAATAAAATAGGGGATAAAGGGAAGGCAGCCTTGATTCTTCTAAAATGTTGTAACAAGATCGTCACTGCTGCCGTAGAAATGTTTGCAAACACCGGTGCCTGCATTCTTAAGCCTTTTTAAAATATTTGTGGGGTTTGGGCTAGCTTTTTTTAACCGTCCAAATCCAGAAGTGAAGAGTCAGGCATTGCAGTCATCTTTTTGTATTAAACTTGTTTTTGTAGAATAAATTTCACTGGCTTGGTGCTGTTTCTTACATGTTCAATTTAGCTCTGTAAATCAATATATAAAATAAATTTATTACAAATAATTTGTTACCTGTATTTTTATTGAGGAGTCGCAGATTGTTCCAAGTGCTTTCGCTCAGGCAGATTAAATAGATCCTGCTCTGGGGACCTCACGGTTTCTAAGAATAAGACTGAAGATGGCATGGGGATTGCATGACAGCCTAATGAGAAAACGTTTCATCACAAGATCCTTGTGACGCGCGGTGATCTCGGCGCAATAGCCAGCAGTCTCAGGTGTTTGGTTACAAATGAAATCTGTGTTTTGGGAATAGTTGGCATTAAGCAGAGGTGTGTACGAAAAGCAGTTAGTTTGTTTAGCTGCATTTTGAAGAGATTGACAGCTTGGAGGGTTGTGAAACCGTAAATATTAGTTTAGCAGGTTGATCAGTATTCCTGTGGCCCATAATAAAGCGGTTATTGCACCATCCCATTCCCTGCTTTAAATAAGTCTCCGGTAACTGAGTGAGGGTGCCTCAGGCTTCACGTGTTTTGCACCACTTCTCTGAAAGGCAGATCCCTCGCACGTTGGGTGTCTGAAGTCAACAGCCGCCGCAGAAAATCTTGACTCTGGTCCAAGCTGCTGATCCTGTGTGTTGTGGCATCCTCGGGCCGTGGTTAGCTCGCCTGTTTTTCGGGACGCGATGTGAAGTGCCAGGTGATGGTAATAGGAAGACTGGGAAGTAACGAGGGTGCTGGATACAGTGCTGGGGTGGGATGGGTGTCCCTTCCTGCCCTTGCTCCCAGGCTGTTGCCTGTCACTGGCCACCTGGCTTCCCTTCCTGTGTCCCAGAGGTTAATACGCTTTAAGCAAGGCTATTACAAAGCACTGTAAAAGGGGGGATATTTTTGTCAAGGATAAAGGCAAAAAGTCAAGTCTTAGACTATTTACCAGATACCCAAGGTTTCCATGGTTGCCTGGTGAGTAGAAGACACATAACTCAGTCTTGCCAGCAAGATGTGCTTGTCTTTAGGGTCCGCTTCCCTGGGTGTTTTCAATTCCTCTCTCACCTCAGTGTCAGTGACTCAGAACATGTGCTAGCAAGAGTTTCACCTTCTTCAAAGTCTACTCCTGAAACGGCACGAGTAGTCCATGAATCATCGTTGTGTAACTTCTGTGGACGTGGTTGACTCACTCGTGTTTGGTTAGAGAAATGTTTGTTTAAGCTCATAATGTAGGTCTGGATGGCAAAGGGGGAGATTTCCACCGGCACAGAAGGAGGTTGGCTCCGCGGCTGCCGTGGAAGTCGGTGGGAGGCTGGCTGCCTCCTCTTTGACGTTGAGTTGTTGCCAACGTCCCAACGTTTTGTTTGGGAACAAAAGGGAAGCAAGGCTAAATCTTTCCTCTGAACCTGCATTCCTGTTCAGATGCTTTTACCCAGTCTAGGTGAAATGTATTCACGGTTAGGAAATAGTCTGCAGTTTGGTGTGATTACCTGTGCCAGAGGGTGTTTGCTTTCAACCAAGCTGCCATGTTTTCTGCGATAGTCTTCCCCCCGGGTCCCTTCTTTCATTTGCTACCTTGAGAGCAGTGAAGACTAGTTTCGTGCCACGCTCACTGCCAAGCTCCTGCTTGCTCTGTACAAACTGTATTGGTAATTTCTGTGGTACTAGCAGTTTTCCCAGAAACCCAGGTCCACTCGAAGAAGAGGGAATAGCTGGGTTCATCCCCCTGCCCTGCTCTCCTTACAACTTGCATTCGCTCAACCAGAGCTGCTAACATCCCCTTCCCACTTTCTTGCAAAGTATTAAGTTTCTATAAATAAATTCTCCAACGGTGGGCTGATAAAGCCATCGCATCCCCTTACTGTCAGAAAGGAAAATATGTACCAACAAGGAATCTAAAATAAAATTTGCCCTTTATCTTTTCATTTCCTGCTTCCATTTAAAGCATTTCACGTTAAATGTTTTGTCTCCTGCCGACGTGACAGCTGATGCTGTGCCTTATTTATGGGGCACGGAGTCAGGGTGCTGTGCCAGTTCTGGAAAGATCAACGTGAACCGGAGAAGAGAAAGCACGGCCAGTGAGTCCTGCCCGGAGGCGTCTCCCTCCGGCACATCCCCTGTCCGAAGCAATCGCTCCCCAACGCTTCCCCCCGGGATTTCCACCGTGACTTCATTCAACCTTTAAAGAACGGCCTCCAGGTAGGTGTTGCGAAAGGTTCTTGTGCACATTAATGAACGGACCCTCGCTACAGCAGAGAGCGAGGTGTGAGTCCTGTCCCCACCTCCCTACCCCTTGGAGGGCTGCCGGCAGCTGCAGAGCAGGCTCCAACACGGGGACCAGACCTCTGCGCTAACCTCAAAGTTGCCCCTTATTTTTGTAGGGACGCTTCTGTAAGGCTGGTGAGGTCTGATGCAAAGCCCACGGGTGTCTTTGAATTGGCTCTCCGAGACGAGGAGACCCCCAGTGGGTTGTGGAAACGTTGCTTGGCTTTAAGCTCATCTCGCCCAGGGCCGCCCCGTGCTCCCCCTTACCCGGCTCCTGGCAGAGCAGCGGCTCCCTGGGGACGTGCTCTCGGGTGGCAGGAGGACACAGGAGCCTCCGCTCACCTCCCCTCTGACGGAGGAGACCGCCTGCCCTGAGTCACTTCGCAGCAACCTGCTGTAGGGCCAGATTCAGTGTTTACATCCCGGCTCCAAAACAGCTCTCGGCATCCAAACAGCAACAGCAGAGGAAAACACCCTGGGATGGCGAGGAGCTGCTGGCCGGGGGCTGGGAGCAGGGCTGGGCTCGCAGGGCGCAGCTGAGCTATTTCCATGTAAAACAGCTCCGAAACGGGTCCCAGGGGGGTCCCCGTGCTCCCTCCGGGAGAGCATGAGCTGCTTTGCTCCCAGCCGGGGTCCCAAAGGTGCCACCGGCAGCAAGGACGCCCCGACAAGGGGTTACGTGTGTTTGCCAACCGGCAGGTGAGGCCCCAGCACCCGTCAGCAGCACAAAGGGCATTTCCAGCCCCGGGGCTGGCTCAGGGCGAGGGAGGGACCCAGTCTGGCCGCCTGGCCCCAGGGTGGGGGG